GAGAGAGAGGAATAACCAGCCAGTCAGTAGATCTCAGTAAGGAGTCTCATACTAGAAAGATGAAAAAAACATTATCAAATCCTTTTCTTTCTCTGCTCATCTGCTTGTCTTCTCAAAGATGATTTGTTTCTGTTAAGCAGGTTTCCTGAAGCTTCCCATAACCACTTACATATTCACCTCACTGAGACATTAATTATGGACATTAATTATGGAACCCAAATAATGAAATAAGGCGTACTGCCTTAGGACAGTTTAATCAAAAGAAATAAAAAATTAACTAGTAATATATTTTAAATCTCTTAAAGGTTGATTTTCTTTTATGCTCACTCTCTCTTGAATTTGACCCCTTATAGAGGTAACAGTTAAGAGAACAGTTTCTATCTACAGAGTCCATAGAAGGCAGAGATTCTTCTTTGTAAGCCCTTCATATCACCTTCCCTTTGGGCACTCTCTCCAACCACACAGTTCCTAAGTACGTAACTTTGTGTTACTTATGTTTGAAATGAGCTTCAGAAAGCTTCAGTAAGATTTGGCCTGTGGCTGGATTCATATCCTGAAAGTTTTCATAGCAGGTATATTTGAACTACATCACAGCAAAGACTGCAGCCTTGGAGCTGGTTAGAGATTTGATGTGTGAAATGTGTATGTGCATGGTAAGCATCCTGCTAGGATTTATTCCCTACATAATTTTCAGCTAAGGCAAAATCAAGCCTGGGGCTCCACTCCAAACTCTGTTGAAACATTCCTCTCCATTCATACAGTTTCTCAGTTATTTATACATTTTAGTAATATAGCACAGGCTCAGTGCAATCTCATCTAAATTTACTTTAGTTGCTCTCCTATATCCACATCCCATCCTAATACTTACCAAGCATGATCTCCACACCTCACAAGCAGCACCTGACTTTTGAAGCACTGCTTCACAGTACATGAAGTCACACTCCATACATGTGCTGTGTTCCATCTCCTCTCAGTGAAAATATTCTAGAACACTGAACTCAGATTCCTACTTATTCCACAGAAAATCTAAGTTTTGATGGCTCCACTAAAAACTGCCTCAAAGAAGATCAACAGCAATTGACATAGGCTCAAACATAACTGAAAAACGACATTCATTGAGATTATGTTTTCTACATGGTACTTTGTAGTAAGCTTTCCCCCTTACCTTCCTAGCTTCTGAAGGCTTGTCCCATCCTGTTCAGAGCTCTTATTTTGCCAGAAATAAGTTTGGGCCTAAGATGTTCTTCAAACCACAGTTTCCATTGAGCACCTGTGTAGCTATGCAATCAGGGGAATAAACAAGTCTAATACCTATTATCCTCCTATTTCTGTCAATAATAAAAAGACCATCACATCTCAGCTGACAATCATGGCAAGCATATTTTTTTTCATCCCTCATCTGATTATCTGCACCAAACTACTATTGCTGAAAACTCTTTTCTTTAGTTGTCTTCAGTTCTTCTACCCACATATTCTGGTGAGTTTCTCTCACAGCTAGGCCTGTCTTCTGATCTCCGAGATAAAAAAATCTGAATTTAGTAATTTCCTCTTAAATTTGTTACTATGGGCGCTTATGTTATTAAGACCCTTCTCTAAACTCATAACATTTCCCCTTTTTTTCCATGAGCTTTTCACAAAACCCATAAAGGAATTTCCATTTTTTCCTCAAGTTTAAACACTAACAAGAACCTGCTGCCTCATTGTAGAATAATGTCCTCTCAGTCCAGGTGAGCTGGGTTGGCTAAGTCCCCACAATGCGTGTGTATTCCAGTACTCATTCCACATATTGCCATCATATGGTTTTTGTTATCCCTTGAGCAGAGGAAAATACATAAAACCAGAGGCCAGAAGAACATCATCACAAAAGGGAGGCAAGAGTTACACAGGAAGACATCACAAGGTCTACCTGCCATTGAAAACCATTGCAAACACCACTCCTTCAACTGAAAACCAGAACAAGACCCTTATTTCTCACTCACTATTTACAGTCTCACTTCCAAGATTATTTTTCTCAGCAATGTTTTGAATAAAATTGGTTTGTTTGTATCTTTCTTCAAGCTTTCAGTACTACTGTACATGTGGACTGGGCCTCTCCTGATGGAAAATAATCTAACTTGTTACCTTTGATTTCTAGAGAAATTAACACACTCTGAGATCCAACCAAGAACAAAACTGTTGTTTACAGAACTTGCAGTGGACAGAATCCATAGGTAATTAAAATGATGTACTGATTTTAGTGGCAAAATTCAGTGTCCATACCCTAGCCTAGTTTAATGTGCAAAGTAAACAAGAAAGACTTGGGTTCAATTAAAATAATTCAGAAAGAAAACTATTAATAGTCCCTGATGAACCAGAGGGTAGAATTCACCTTGCTTTAATTTTCTCCAGTTCAGAATTTAGGTTGGTCACTCATGCTTCATCATTTGGTGTAAAGAGATGTGTGAGGTGCACCTCTTGTTAGCAACTACAAATGAAATTCACATTTCAAGCTCAAGTCTGTCATCTTGGGAAGTAGACTAAAGAAGAGGGCAGTGCTGAGGTACAAAACACTTGATTCTGTTATGTTCTTGTCTGTCTACTTGACACATGATACTTATCAGTACCATGTGTCAGTAGAAACAATAAAACCTTAGTTATTGGAAGTCCTGAACACAAACCGGCCTGCTTGCCAGAAGGCAAAATGCATTAACTTGACAATATTTCACAAGATGTGTAGACAACATTTAGTACCTGAGATGCAAAGGTGGCAGCAGAGGTTCAGGATGAAACCCAGGCTATCACAGAATGGGTCAAGTTGGAAGGGACCGCAGTGGGTTACAGATCTCACCTCCCTGATCAAGCAGGCTTATCCTAGGGCACATTTTACAGGATTGCAACCAGATGGTTTTCAAGTATCCCCAGTGAGGGAGACTCCACAACCTCTCTGATCAATCTGTTCCAGTGCTTGGTCACCTGCACATTAACAAAACTCATCCTTCTGTTTAGGTGGACCTTCCTGTGCATCAGTCTCTGCCCATTTCCTTTCATCCTATTGCTCAGCACCATCAGGAAGAACCTGGCTCCAACCTTTTGGCAGCGTCCCTTCAATACTTACAGACACTAATGAGGTCCTCTCTTAGATCTCTCTTCTCCAGGCTAAACAGCCCCAGATATAGAGAGATACAAGAGGGAAACTATAGAAGATTTGAGTCCAGATCAGCTGTAAAAAAATATTTTGGGGAAGAGAGAAGTCTTTTATACTAACATTCCAAAACACTACTGAAACTGTGCATGATATTTTTACCAGAAACTAACATAATGCCAACAAACATTCCTAAGACTTCTGGAATACTAAGTAAACAGCAAGATTTCTAGACATGTGATGAGAAATGGCTATCTGCACCTGCTTTCTCACTAAAAGGAGAGCTACTGACTGCTGTTGGAGCCAAGACTCAGCCAGAAGGGCAGTACAGCAGTCAAGATGACACTGTTTGGGATCCATGCTTCCCCTGACATCTCAATGATTTACCTTACACATCCTTACCTTAGAACTCATGAATACACCTTGCTGAACAAAGCAAGCAGCTGAGGCAGCAAGCACTCTGCACTGCATTAATGGGAACACAAACAGCAGATTACAGGGAGTGACAATCTCCCTTTACTTGACACTAGACCACAGATACAATACTGCACCCACTTTGGGGCCCAAAACAAGAAAAAATATGGACAAATTGCAGTGCATTCAGACAGTCATGGGGCAAGAGTAGTTGGCTTGTGAAAAGCAGCTCAGGAAGCAGCCTTTTCAAATTGAGAAGAGGTGGCTTTCAATTGACCTAATTAATAGCAGTCTTCCCATACCTGTGGTTATCCAAGAAACACAGCCAGGATCTTCACAGCAGTGCATGTCAGAGTTGAAAAGGAACAGGTATAAACCAAAATAAGAGAGGCCCCAGTTTGATTCAAGGAAAAGGGTTCTCATGATACAGGCAAAAATTGAAGCAAGATGCCCAGAGGCATTGTGTAGTCTCTATCCCTATAAGTTTTCAAGACAACATACAATAAAACACTGAGCAACCTTGTCTGGCCACATAAACAACCTTGCCTTGAGTAAGGAGGCTGGATGAGTGACTCCCCAGGTCCCTTCCAACCTGAATTTTGCTGTGATAAAAGTTGTGGGCTGCATCAGGCTAGACAAAATGAGGGGAGAGAAAGAAGCTAAAGGGACTTGCAAGTACTCTGGTATTATTTTATAGCACATATTTTTCAAATTGCAGCATTGTTCTAGTACAGCTACTCTTACGCAGCTGAAGCCTGGCGCAGGTGAGGTGATCTCCCTTTCATTTAACAGCAATCCAGAGCACTGGAAAAAAAGCAGTTCTTGAGAGAAAGGATGAGAAAAAGCAATTCTAAGTGACCAAGAACTTCTGTCAGAATGTCAGCAATCCAATGGTAACTCTGGCTGTTAGTAAAGGTCATGAGCAATTACAGACAAAACACTGCAGAGAAAGGTGGTTATGTAGGTAATTCCAAAGAAAAAGAGGTGTCTTGTAAGACAGAGAAATCAGGAGTGACAGAGATATTGAATATGTTTTCTCAAGATGTTAAGAGCGAATAGCTGACACACTTAAAGAAATCACAGTGGCCAAGAATCTTAATGTAAAGGCCATTCTTCAACAACACCGTAATGGGAAATCAATAGAACATGATATTATCCTGGCACAGTCTGTCCTTCTTTAACATTAATTGGAAGTGGGGGAAAGAGAGCTGTATCTGACATGGTCCATAAAATGTAATTAAACCTTTGCAGTGAAAAAGAGCAGAAAATTCTAGATAGCTACAGATTCTGGGTTAAGACTAGTGATTTACTACTGCCTGAATAGTTCAATTTCTAAAGAAAAAAGATATTAAACATCCTCTTTAAAGAGACAGAATGAAAAGGGTATTACATTTGCTAACTCAATGACATGACTGGGTCCATCCATTTCCCCTGTCTCTTACTCAATTATCTATGTAATACTTACCCCTTCTGTCAGAATACTGCAAAAAATCTATGAAAGATGAGAAAACAAAAGGTAGCATTAGTTCATACAGAAAATGTGTTCTCTTACAGCACATGCTCTCTGCTTAAGCAGTTCATGCCACTTAAAATGTCATTCAAGTTTCACATTAAATTCTACTTAAATCAAAAGGCTTATTAAAATTATTTGACCAGGTTCAAGTTCAAAGAACTTTTTAGAGTGTGAGAAACATACAAGACTTGAATAGGAATAAAAAACTGCATTGCTCCAAAAAATGAAATGACAAAAACCATAGTGAAATGTAGTGTCTTTTCTTCTACCAACAGTAACTATTAATAGCACTCATGATTACACAGACAAATAATTTGGCTAATCCATTTACAGAGTGAAAGTGTACCAGAGCTAGAAGCAGAAGGCAAATGCCACAAGGTCTCTTATTTCACTTCATGACACTCCCATGACTGTAACTTTGTGCCTGTACCTACACTTGCACATTCACAATATGGATCAGGCACTCATAGAACCTCATTTTCCTGAAGTTCTCCAAGAACAAACACAACTCTGTAAACAAGAGAAGCAGAAACGGGCAAAACCTGTGGTTAACATGAGCAGTCAGATGAAAGTACTTTTCAAGAGGAAACTTCCTTTAAAATAGTTGGGTTACTATTGGGAGTTATGAATGTACAGAAAGACTTGGAGGAATGTTGGTAGGATGGGACCTTTGAAGGTCACTTAGCCCAGCCTCCCACTCAGAGCAGGGCTAAAGCCAATGCTAGATGACACTTTCCAAGGGAAGAGGCTGTGCTCAGCAAAACAGTGGGTGGCAGAGACAGCAGGATGTCTGGTGCAAACCAGGCCTTGCTTGTGCCCTCTACTCTCTGGAGGCACCTACATTTCATGTTAAACATCAGCCAAGGAAAGCATGAACTGACATGGTAAGCCTTTCTAAAGGATAAAAAGGAGACAGTAAATAACTGCAGTAAATAACACACTCCAACATTTCTACGCTGAATGATAGGAGAAAATGAGCAACAGAAAACTCTAATCACACGTATGAAGTCACCAAGAAAAGGTATAAGGAGTAGATGACATGACACATACCAACAACATGACACGCTTTCTTCTGTGATGGAGCGAAGCTGTGTACAGTATTCCAGTGGTCTCAAAACAAACTCATGAACAAGCTCAAATAAACTTGCTTGCAAAGCTGATGGCAGAAAACCACGCTAATTTGGAAAGTGAGGAGCAAACAGGCTGCAAGAACCCAAGGAAAATGAAGTGTGACGCACATATCAAGTAGTCAATATTTGTCAGCAATCAGGTGCAGGTTTAAAAACATTAGCAATGCATGGAAAGGCCATTTTTTGTTTTGCTTAACATGTAACCTCTTTGAAAACTCAGGTTTTGAGACAGACAGTAAAAGAGACATCTGTTCTGTTTAGCATTTATTTAACCATGGCAGGAGAAAGCTGTTCTACACTTAGAACAGAGTACATGACACAAGACATTACACAAGACATGTTAGTGTTCATATGACTTTGACAGCTATGATTGAGCGAGGACAGGAGATGAGTGCCAGTGAAAGATAAATATACTGTACAGACAGTCTAAGTTTTTAAGACTTCTCCTAAGAGGAGGGAAGAAGAATGATGAAAAACTACCCATGTTTTGTTCAGAGATGTGAAATTTAAAGCCTCTCTTAATGGCTTCTGTCACACAATGAACAACTTTAATTGTCAAGAAATTGCTTTTCCAGGTTGACTGCCCGCTTAAGCTAGAGAGTATATAAAACAAGGCCACTCCTCACAGAGTTTTACATGAAACAACTTGGTCATGGAGATATTTACAGTTGTGCCACTGTATGTTCAACTTTACAGAAATTGCTACTGTGATATTTTCAAAGCAGGGCAAAAATTACAAAAGCAGCAAATTAAAAAATACCTGAAGCAAAAAATGAGGAAGTTAATTGCCTGGAATTAATACCGATATAACTAAATGAACCTTAACCCAAACCCAAAAGACTTACATAACTCTGTAATGGAAAAGAAAACAGAACAGCTGGGGGACAAAAGTATAGCAAAATGAAAAGCCAAGGTGGAAAAAAAAAAAAAAAAAAAAAAAAAAGAAAAAAAAAAGACCCCCCACCCCAAACATTCCGGTCCAAGCAATGCAAGCAAAAAGTTAAGTGCTCTTAAGTGCTGTAAGGATATACAGCCATGGAATTGTTTGGGTTGGAAGGGGCCTTAAATCATGTTTTCAAGCCCTGCCAATGGCAGGGGCACCTTGTGCTATACTCTGCATCTACGATACCCGAACTCTTTCCTTTCTCTTCTCCCTCTAGTTTGGGTATTGGCTCTTCAAATACACATCATTAACCCATTACAAGGACAAAGGCATGTTACTAAAAAGATCATAATGAACACTTCTGTTTGGAGGATGCGCCTGAGCGCCTGGAGAACGCAAGGTGATCACCCCCTTGGCCGGTCCAGCGCCAGGCACAGCTATCCCTACACTCAGCTGTATCACGGACGGGCTGCCCCTCGCACACTGAGGCGCTGCTGTGCCCTTGTCCCACGGCCACCCGTGTCCCGGCCGGGGGCCCCGAGCCACCCGCCGGCTCCCCCGGGCCGGCTCCCACGTGGAGTTNGCCGCACAGCCCGCGGCCGCTGCCAAAGCAGGAGCGGCGCCCGGAGCTCCCGGGAAGGGCCGCTCCCGAAAGCCGCGCCGGGGCCTCGCCTCCCAGAGGCCGCAATAAACGTGCGTCAAGGAGTGCAATATTTGGCAGCCAGTCTGGCCTTCAGAGAACCTTTATAAAAACCCTTATTATTTGATTAACGCTGTTGACTACTCTGTAGGAAGGGATTTTGGCTGCAGGCGCAGATTGGTGTTGAGCCTGCTGAAGCGGGAGTTTTAAACTTTGAGGGTGCTAAGTGCCTTTCTGTTCACCACCTTTGCAGGCAGCTTCTAGTTACCAGCCAGACTCCCTCAAGCTGGCTCCATAGGGATCAGTCTGCTCTTCAGCAAAGCATGTGAGGGTTCCACTCAGTAAATAACTTTAAAGTGAACGCATTGACAGGAGAAATAAGAGTGAGTGGTGCTGTAGAAAGGATCCTGGTCAATGGCAAGTTGAACATGAGTCAGCAGTGCCCTGGCAGCCAGGAGGGCCAAGGGTGTCCTGTGTGCATCAGGCACAGCAGCACCAGTGGGACTGTCCTGCTCTGCTCTGGTGTGGCCTCCCCTTGAATATTGTGTGCAGTTTTAGTGTGAGTTTTAGTTTTTTCCTTTCAATATAAGGAAAATAGTTAACTATTACAGAGTATCCAACAGAGGACTTTGAACATGATGAGGAGTCTGGAGGAGAAGCCCTATGAAGAGCAGTCTGTTCAGCCTGGAGGAGACTGCAGTCCCCATTACAGTCCACAATTTTCTTATGAGGGGAAGGAGAGGGGCAGATACTGATCTCTTTTATCTCATGACCAGTGATGGAACCCGACGAAATGGCCTGACACTGTGAAGTTGTGTCAAGGAAGGTTTAAGTTGGATATCAAAAAAAAAAGGTTTCTCAGCCAAAGGATGGCTGAGCCCTACAACAGGCTCCCCAGGGAAGTGTCCCAGCATCAGCCTGACAAAGTTCAAGAAGTACTTTGGACAACACTCTTGGGTACATGGTGTGACTTTTGAGGACAGCCCTGTGCAGGACCAGGAGTTGAAAGATCCCTATGGGCTCCTTCCAACTCATGATATTCTTTGATTCTCTCTGGAGCACACCAGTATCATTCTGTAGCTTGGCTATTGGGACAGCAGGTGATATTTTGGTGTCATTCCCTCCTCCCTGACTAGTTGCTAAGTGGAAGGTTGTATCTCTTATAGACTATTCACTTTCTTACCCAATTACCATTAAATAATTCCATTCCACCTCTAACACTAGGCAGGATTGTTGCAATAATACATATAATCATGTATATGTAAATATATGTAAAAATTTTCTTAAGAAAGGATGTTCTTTGATGTTTGCTCTTTGTATGCTTTTAAGACTTATCAGCAAGGAATATTCAATCTGTGAAACAGATAACAGGTAACAAGCAAACTCTAAGTGATGTCCAGGTGTTAGAAAAACAAATTACTTGGTAGAATTGCCATGTTAGGGTTTAGGGCTTGAAATGCTTCAACGATCTCAGACCTAGGGGAAGGTTAACAAAGCTTGGGAAGAAGGATGTACCACTGGTAGTGGACACAAAGAATGTGGAATTCATATTACACAAAGACATCTGGCAGAACTCCCAAGATAAAGCAGAAACTAATAAACCCAACTCAGCAATTATGCTGAAATCAGCCCTGACTGGGTAAAGTGATAATTCCAACAGGAGGAGATTGTGACCACCAGCTCACCAACAACCGACCCAAGAAACCCACCGACCCCAAAGAAGAAAGACTGAGCATGGGACTAATTAGCTTGAGAAGCAGGAGAATCATTAACCAATAGAAGAATACCAATTAATAAGAGAACTATGTAACCTGTAGCAAATGAACACTAATTCCTTTGTTTGCTAAATTCTATAAATAGTAAAAAGTTCTGATAATTAATGTGTGCAATTTGTGCAATACCACTGAACAGCTCAGGATTGTGCAACTCTGAAATAAATAATCCATGTCTCTCTTAAGTGTGTCATTATTGGCTTGTTGCATACTGGGTAAAAAACCCAATTTTGGCAGAGAAGGTTGCTCAGCATTTGAGGCAGTAGCTCCTGCTTTCTATATGTTATTGTTTTAGAGACCAAATTAATTAGTATTCCATTGCTTTCTTCAGGTGCTACTTTTTGTTTGTTTGTTTAGGCACACACATTCAACATGAATATACTCAAGCTGAATCAAGATTTTGAACTGTTACTCTAAAAGGAAGAATGTCTTCCTGTATGTCCCAGTCCGCCAGGCCCATTAGATTTTCCTCCTAGCTTGTAGCAGAACCCCGAATCAAAAACTTACTACAAAAATAACCACTGTTGTCACAATTAAAATCTAGGCAAAAAAAGAAAAAAAAAAAAAAAGATTAAAAAAAAATAGTAAAATGCAGATTTATTTCATGGCTTCATTACAACTGTATTTACTTCCTGCTCAGCTGAAAATAAATTGGAACATACCATTGGCAATTTAAGTGATTAACACTACATAAAAAAAGTTCAGCTCAGAAATCACAAGCTACCAGTTTCAGTACCTGTAGGGATTTTTCCTAACAAAAATACTTACTTTAGAAAGCCCTGAACCACTTGACATATTTCATCACTGACACACACTGAACACCCATGCCACAACACGGCAGTGCAACTTTCTAACACAATATATCAGTCCTTCAATGCTCGATAGTCCATGCAGCTGTGCACATCCTCTTGGAAATACACATAGTCCTTTTTCTTTAGAGCACAGGGCTCAGTTTGCTGTGTTTATAACATTACACCTATGTACAACCACTTCACGTTATTGTGGAGCCCAGCAGAGTCTGAAGTGCCCTTTACCAGAGGCACCTGCTGCTTATGGTGTTCCATGACACAAATTTGGCTCCCTCAGCTTTTATGTCACAGAAATCCAGCCATGTGTTCTGACTTTTGCTCCTATCAAAATTTAGTCTTTTAGAGTTAAATGTGCCCTCATTAGCACACATTTGGTAGAGACACACCAAGAGCTGTGGAAGGGAGCAATATTCAGTGAAAGGGCCAAGTTGAGGAGCACATGGGAATCTACATGTAATGATAGGTATGTCAATGTACCAGTACTCATATGAAATACGGGGCACAGGCAGAAACCAGCAAATAAGTATCAAAAGATATCGAAACAAAAAAACTTCACCACACTGAAACACACGGAGCTATCACATTTAACATTCTAACAGCTACAGCTTGAAATAGCAACTGTAACTTAAGGAAAAAGATATAAATCTCACTGTTGCAAATTTACAGTTGCTTTAGACTTACTTTTTAAAATAGGAGTGAAGTACACCAAAATTCAATTCAATAAGGAGTTGTTACTGTTCATTGCAGAAACATAAACAAGCTAGTAATGAATTGAACTGGACATGAATGTTCTGTTTTCATACACAGGGATTTCATGCTTCATCAGTCATATAAATTTATCAAAGTTAATTTGTTTTCTCCTCTCCCTCTTCCAGCTACTCTCTGACTCTCAAGGCAAGTACCTGCCAGTTTGTTTCAATGCCAGTCTTTTAACATTATTGGTACCAATAAGGTATGAGAATAATAGAGGGTCAGATTACTTCATGTATGGGATGAGAACACTTCAACTGAAAGCAGCAGTGAGATTTTTGCTTATGCATATGAGCTGATCACCTTAGTTACCCTTTGATGTTAGTGAAGATGAATTTTTCTTTTGAGTATGACTTCTCACATCCTAAAGATGGGGATTTTCCCCAGTGACTATACAGAGAAACTAGGATGAATAGCTCAGATACAGGTATCTGAAAAATGAAGGAAAATGTTCCCAGTGAATAGGCCCAGTATTTTGAACAAATCATTCAAAAGTATTATAGATTTTTATTTCTTAGTGCCCATAAACACACACACAACCCACATCTCTAAAGTTTAAATACTATGAAATTAAATAACAGAAAACTTCATGTACATAGCATTGGTCTAGACACAATAGTGACATACAATTAGGGAACTTTGCTGGAGGTTTTTGGTGAAAAGAGACTAACATCCATAGCAGTCATTGTGACTATTTTCCTGACTCCATTCTGTACATTAAATCATTCTGTATTTCTTTTCTCAGAACTGTATTGGAACAAGTAATCTTTCTCAAAAAGGAAAAAAAAGAAAAAAAAAAAAAGAAAAAAAAAGGCTTCTTAATTTCCCTAGAGAATCAAACAGGCCAACTGATAAGGAAAATTTAATCTTCTGGAATTAGCAATGGGAAAAAAAAAAAATACAGCATGCCGGAAAGATAGACAATATTTGTAACTACAGTTATGTAGAAGTCCACTTTTTCTTCACCGTTTTCTCTTTGAGTGTTCTGCACTGTTCCAGGAGTCAGTTATGAGGTATGAAAAACCAATAAAAAGGTTAACATTATAACCATTTTAATAAAAGCTACTGCACTGTTTGCAGTTCCAAATATTTCTGAAAATAAAGTAAAAAAATACTTTGTATTCTTAAAAGTCTTAAGGAAGTTTTTATTACAAAAGCAGTCATCTTCGTGGCTTCTTTTGAACACAATTCTGCCTCAACATTAAACTCAGGACATATGGGTATGCTTCATATTACTGTCATACAAATAATCACATTGAATTTCTATACAGTAAATATTATATAAAACAAATAAACCCTCACAAAAGTATATACAGGTAGCCAGAAAGCTAATCAAGAAGAAATGATGTTGTCTGTACTGAAAAGTAAATACCATTTTAAAATACTAACAAAACATCCAATTTGTTTGTCTGTCTCTTCTGTCTTAAGACTTGAATAGAAGGACTTCCACAGAGGAATTTCTAAAACTTTGGTTTAAAATGACCTAGAAAGAATTCATCCTTCATACATAATATTGATCGAGTGGATGTCTTTAAAGCTGATATGGAAAGCAACAGGGAAAACTACACATGTGGATTTTATGATGAGAATAATAATTTAAACTCAGGATGTAATATTCCAAATATACAGAAGAGACCTGATTATAGTAAACATATTTATCTTCTACTATAAATTAGCTCATCCAGCCATATCCCAACTCTTTAATTCCTCATGACTGAAGAAGCTGTGTGTTCTCTCTATCTGATGAATAGTAGGCTATGCATGGAAAGCCTTAAGAACCTGCTGTTTGTACTGAAGGGTGTATCTATTTCAGCACCTTTCAGATACAAAAGTTGGTACTAAGCTGTGCTGGCTATTGGAAGATGATTATCCATACTGATGCAGTGTTCTGCTTACCAGATACTTATCAAAGAGCATGCTTGGATCATATTCAGAAACAAATTTCTGAAAATTTTGTCCAGAAACCAGAAGAAATGGAAGCAATTGCCACGGCTTTGTACCCTATGTGAACTAATTAGTCCCACTGAGAAACAGGCTATATTTATAGGAGAGAAGCACACATACATGCCCCTTGCACCTTGACTAAAACCAGTATGTAGCCATGTTAGTTCATTCAAAGCTAAATTTGTGGACAGCACCACACTGCCACAGCCTTTCTGGCTAGATCTACAGTCAGTGTGGCAAAAATAGTACACTAAAGTACCTGCATGACTTGTAACTCCCGAGCTAGCTTTGTCAGAGGATGCTTTGGTAGTTCTGCAATATTGCAGTATGCTCTGTAGACACACCTACAGAGTTCTTGAAACAACTGTCATTTCCAAGCAAATTTATAATGTAAAAGTAGCCTCTGTGAGGTTCAAAACGTGGTAGAGATGTAAAATGGTTCTATGGTGGTCAGATAAGGTGGTCACACAGCATCCCATCCTGTGGCAGGAATTTCCCTGACACTTTAAGTGGTTCCACACATAGAGGAGCTGTGTGTGGAGAATGCTAAACAGTCTCACGATAATCGATAGACAAATTAGAAAAGCTGCAAATACTGCGTTGATCGATTTCTCCCAGGGGACATGGATGGCAAGAATAAAGGAATATGAAAAGATAGGTAAAGTTCCCCAGCTGTCATATCCAATAGCAAACTTCCAATCTTAAACGAACAAAACCAAACATCTCAAAAAAACCCCAAAGAAACTGGAAAAACCGACCACCAGCAAATAAAAGACTACTTCCTGAAGCAGGAATGTAAATATTAATACATGACAAATAAGTCTGGACAGACAGAGTTCAAATATGTATTAAAGCATAGCCCCTTTTGAGAGGTAACATGGTATCAACATAAACCACCTCTGAATCATCCCACATCGATGTGCTCAGTTTATGCATTAACATCTATGCTTACTTATCTGCCCCTTCAGCAAACACAGGAGCCATGGCAGACAAAGGTGAAGCCAAGTTCTTTCAGGTAACAGATCAACAGCCAAGGTCAGGTCTTTTGCACAGTTACTGTTCCACAGAAATTATCTCTTTATTCCCCAGCAATATAGGAGCTGAAAGGTGTAATGTCCTTAACCAGAAAGCACTGAATTGCCTGAGAACACAGCAATTAGCTCCTACAGATACTAAACTGTATTTAAACACTGACCTGCCACAGGAGCTAAAGCAGTTCTGACTTCTTGTCCATGTTTGTCTGTTGCAGATGAGGCTGCCTGCCAGAACAGAAACTCTACCTGACTGCTCTGTTGCCTCACCTTCTTTTCATTAGCTGCTTACTAAAATCTCCATCTAACAGTATTTTCGATACTCAAGCATACCTGAGCAGCACACTGGCTTACAGACATTTATGGTCAAATCCTTGCCCTTTTTTACTCTTGCAAAAATCTGACACTTCACAGGCTGGAGACAGAAATGAGCATAAGGGCTTAACTCAAATTATATGAGTAGACTGATGTGCTAGAGAGAATTCATTCTTCCACTGTCTCTGCAGGACTGGCACTGGAAGGCAGTAATAAAACTGAAGTGGACAGATATTTTTCATACTTGAAAAGATCAGGATTTAAACAGGAAATTGCACTTTTAAGTATCACTTTCAGAAATAAAATTGCCTCCTGCTATTCATCCCACTACCGAAAAGTCAGATGAAGATATCAAATTACAAGTGTATGCTGTGAAATTCCATCTGCATTGCTTTCATATACCTATAAAAATGTTCTAATGGACTTTAAAAGCAGTTCAAGTAAAAATAAAATGATCCCTCAAGCTGAAATGTTAGGATCTGCAGGAGGGAAAAACTGGACATTCAAGTGTGCGGTGCTGGTGGTGTTGTTTTTGAGAAATGATGACTGAATCCTGTACATGGTCAAAAGTACCCATGTAACAGTAGTCGTAAACAGCATGCACGGGCAACCTGAAAAGGAACATCAGGCACCGCCTTTCTTTTGCAACTGCTCCAGTTTTCTTCTTAAGAGGTTGTAGTTTTCCTTGGTTCCCGGTGCCATGGGATCAAGCTTCAGAGAGACTTCATAGTGCTTCTTCGCTAAGTCAAGGTTTCCCCAGCGATGATAAAGCACAGCTGGAACATCAATGGGAATTTCATTAGCAATATTGTTGAATAACGTACAATCTTGCCAATCACTTGGAGAACAACATTGAAGTATTTGTTTCCAGCAAGGGTCTGTCACTGGCTGGTGGCACAGTAGCTGCTTGTTCTGTTGCCAAATGCAGGAGCAAAGCCTGGGAGCAGAACTGGCATGGGAATGACGAAGGAATGAATTACAATGGAGCCATAAATGGCAGCTCTTATCTGGTGAGCTCATTGCGGGTTACAAGCATAGCATAAATGAACCAATTTGCAGACACTAAAGTGCAGCTACCTCTGGGCTGGATTGTGCAGCCCTCTTGATCTGTCATATCGTGTGACAGCTTTTCTGGCTTTAGTGCCCTGTTCTTCTGGCTGGCAGTTCTTCTAGAAAGTAAAATAGAAATCTGCCCAGCCGGAAGAAGGCTGTAAAGATTGGTTTTTCTTTTTTAAACACAATGAATATGAAGCAAATAAAGAATATAGCTGATAAGAGTTTAAAAGGCTCTTACCCAAATTACCGTGATAACTGGCAGCATTTGGATTGGCTTTAATTGCCTTGAGGAACAAAGCTTCAGATTCCTGAATAATTTAAAATAACAAGTCATCAGGAAAGTAAATTCTCATATATATAAAAAAAATGCTAAATTTACCCACCACTGTAATTACAAACCCTCCAAAATGATGCCATATCTATATATACAACCACCATATAAATATCATGAGCCTGCCTGATCCTCTAGCTCAGGTGGCTACAGCCCCCTGAAAACAGTAATAATGCTACAAATAAGTGTCATGTTTTCATAGGCTGCTATTATTTTAGCAGAAATTTATTAAGCACTAGTGAAGTTTGCTCTTTACCTGAAGTACCTTTTTTTTTAATAGTTATAGTATTTTCAAACATTATCTGCTGAAGTTTTCCCTACCTATGCAATAAAATTAAGAAAATGTACTTTGGTACCTAAGCAAACTGCTTATAGACACTTTTCCTTTAACAATAGTTTTAGCATTAAAAATAGGGGCATTCCAGTAAATACCTTTCAAACAGATGTTACAGTGTGGTTCCCCTTGAAGAGTAGCTTTTACTTAAAAAATCATGCCAAATCATATCAAGCCATGCAACATCTTTCACACTTTCCTCACCAGTTATCTTTATATTACTGCTTGCAATGTGCGCTTTTAAGAATCCCGATATCTGAGTACTTTTTAAAAACCTCTGCGCCCTCACCTAATATCCAGTGAATAATTTACTGCTAAATTTATTCTCTAATTAAAACCATTCTATTTTTCCAAACTTATATTAATACTTTTGATTTTTCCTGCTAATATTGATACTTTTTTCTCAGAGCATATTTCCTGCAGAAGTTGAAAAAGTCACACCCCCCAATCTGAATGGAGCATTATTTACTCACTGACATGCAAGTTTAGATACTTGAGAGCAAATTTTACATAGATTTCTATGCTGTGATGTGCATTAGGGAAAGTTATTCATTCAGTTGCAATGCAAATGACCTGAAGATAAAATTACCTCAATGTGGTAGGCTTCCAACTGAATGCACATGCTGTCTGAGTTATGTGAGAACAGTAACATGGAGAAAAGTCCTTTCCTTTGTGCTAAGCTTTCACTGCTTAAAACATAACACAGGCTCTACTGAAAAAGAAAACCTGTCAGCCAGATTTTTGGTTCCACCATCTTCTCATGTCAAGCATGAAATAACTCTCTGTAAGGGTCCCTTCAGGGGAAAAGAATTTTCTGATGTCAAGATTGAGTCACTCAGCTCTGAGTGACTTAAGAGCCTCCCCATATGTCCAAATTCAAACCCAAACTAAAAGCATTGCTGAGCACAGCTGAGGCTGCCATTCTCAAGCCAGGAGAGACTCATGCAGAAAGTGCCTTCATCTCCACTGGTTAAGGAAATTACAAACCCCAGGGTTCTCGGAGCTAGTCCAGTGGAGGGCTATGAATATGATGAGGGGACTGGAGCATCTTTTATGAGGAAAGGCAGAAGGAGCTGGGCCTGTTCAGCCTCAAGAAGAGACGACTGAGAGGGGACCTCATTGATGTCTATGTATCTGAAGGGAGGGTGCCAAAGGGATGGATCCAGACTCTCCTCATTCACGTCACGCAACAGCACAAGACAATACGAGAGAAACTGATGCGCAGGGAGTTCCACCTGAACGTGAGGAAAAACTTCACTGTGCAGGTGACAGAGCACTGGAACAGATTCACCAGAGAGGTTGTGGAGTGTCCTTCCTCGGAGATATTCAGAACCTGTTTGGACATGATTCTGTGCAACCTGCTCCAGGTGAACTTGCTCTAGCAGTGGACTGGATGAGACAATCTCCAGAGGTCCCTTTCAACCCAAATCATTCTGAGATTCTGATTTTGTTTCGGGAGAAGGAATACTTCCCCCTGACAGGAGTTAACAAGGGAAGCAGATGTCTGCAAATTTAGAGTGTATGTCTCCATAGTACAAGTTTTAGCATTGCTTTCCTATAGTATGAGCAGTTGCTCCAGCATTCTCATACCCAGACTGTTAAAGTTCCTGGATACATTGGTCTCTTTGAAACCCATACTGTTTAGTGACTTCATTCATATTTTGGATGATGGGACTGAATGCAGTTTCAAAACTTTACAGATAGCACCTAAGAGGAGGGAGTGAGAAATACACTGGAAGGGAGAATAGCTGTTTTGAGGGACCTGGGCAGGACAGAGAAACAGGCTAGAAGGAATCACAGAGTGGTTGAGGCTGGAATAGACCTCAGGTGGCCGTGTGATTTTGATAAGCACTTCTGAGACCACAGCTGGAGTATGTGTCCAGGCTGGGGGTCTCCATTACAAGAAAGACACAGACATACTCCAGTGAGTGCAGGGGGCCACAAAGATGGTACAGGGCTGGAGCACAAGAACAAGTGCAAGGGACAACTGAGAAAACTGGATCTCTTCAGCCTACAGGAGAGAGGATGAAGTTGCTGCCTGTAACTACCTGATGAGATAAATACAGAGAAGATGGAAACAGACTCTTCTCAGAGCTCTGTGAGATGGGATGACACATAATGCATACAAGGCATACAAGAAATTCCAATTAAAGGAAACATCAATTTTTTTTTAATCATAATGTTGAACAAACATTGAAAGATGCTGTCCAGAGAGATTTCAGAATCTCTATCCACAAAGATATTTAGGATTCTACTGGAACTGGCCCTGGTTTGGGTTAGGGGTTGGACTGGATGACCTCTAGATGTCATTTCCAGGCAAAATTATTCCATTATTTCCATGTTTCTCAGTCACCTGAGAAACATACTGAGACTCAAAAATTTGGGAAGTGGTGCAAGACAATCTCTTTCAATACAACTCTCCAATCCTAAAAATCAACAGTGAATTGGTACTTGAAAGCATGCAGTCACTTCAAGTCCCACAAAGTAGTGTTTTCTCCCACTGCAAACTTTAATATTTTCCCTTAGTAAATCTCTTTTTTCCTCACTAGACAGGTTATCAGCAATCAGGATGAAAGATAGGCTAACCATTTAATTCAGCCTTACACTTAAAAGTTGCCACCTATGCAATGGAGATACACCTAATGTACAGACTTGCATCCTTTCTCTGCTGAAGCACAGTGGGACAACACGTGCAATGCACTTCCAGATAATTTAATGAAATAGATATTCAGGAGCTAGCTGCCATTACCATATATCTTCAACTCCATGCTGAGAATATTTTTATCACCACTACTTTGCTCAGCAGCTAATAGAAGCATTGTGGTTGATTAAAGGCTATTTAAGGTGCATCATGTTCATATTACTGTGGATATATGGAATAAATATACATCCCAGTACATCAGTGATATTTCAAATTGCTGTATCTTGCCAAATCTTTAAGTGTTGCCAAGAAACTTGCAGCTTGCATATAGCAAAAGCTTGGGGTAAGCACTGCATTCAATCTGCTGCCAAGGCCAAAAAAAAATGTAGTCTGGCTTTATTTCAAATACAAAAAATGCTGAATGGTTTCAATTTATTGTACTTTTTACAGAAAAAGCATAGATGTATATGTAGCAAAAATACAGCACACATCTTTTTCAAAGAACTAAAGATAGCTTGGTTTTTATCAATTGAGATAAGAACAAGCATTTAAACGAGAATCTAACTTGCTATAACAGATGTTAATTAAAAAACCCAAACAAAGCCACAGAAACAGCTCATCCTTTATGTGCTTTTCTCTCTGGAACAATACATCATTCATTACTAAATACAAGCAAAAAATAAAGGGCTGGTTTTTAATTTTTTGTGACGTAGGAAACCTATCTTCTGCTGAAAATCGAAGTGCATTTGAAACTGAAAGAGAATGTTGTGTGCTTATTGGAAGGAGGAAAACATTGTGTGTTTATTGGAAGGAAATCTCTCACAACATAGTAAAACCTTTTTGACTCAATGTCTTTTAAAGTAAGAGATAACAAAAAACCCCAGAACAAATCTTCCTTTGCAGCAATAGAGCCAACACAGTAGCAACTTTTATACAGACACATAACAAGTAACCTAATAAATTAAATGCCTGAGGTTATACAACACATCAGACACAGCCAGGCAACACTGAAAATTACCTCTATCACCTTGACAGTCTCCATCCCCTGTTCCTCCCGTCCAGTGTCATTCAATAAAAATCCTTGAAGAGCCATCCGCTCCTCTGCTTTTACATGGTGAGGGGGTGGACAAGAAATCTGAATTTTTCATGCTTTTTTTCTGTCAGTAAGCATTCTCCCATTACAAAAAAATGTGTATCTCCTCTTTCCAGGCAATGCCAAATACAGCTGCTGAGACCATAACCTTTTTAAGTGAGCCCACTTTCCAATTCCCTTAATTTGTTCTCCCTGTTATAACCCATCAGTTTTAAGTGACTAGTAAGCTCTGCACACACCTACTCCATATTGAGCTATTAAAACACTCAGTGGAGTTCTGCTATTTTTCCTGGGCTCCACTATTCCTATTTTTTTTTTCAGAATCTGGACTTAAAAGCTGCACTTTCCCCTACTCTTACTTCTACCTTGTCTCCAACATGTTCTCCTGCAGCATAATAACCTTTCAGGGCTGGCAATCAAAATCATCATCTTCTTTTTTATTTTTCAAATCCATTAAGACAGACTTGTCTCTCCTACACCTGGAAAAGTTTTCTAGCTTGTTTTCAACTTATTTTTTCAACTTTATTTCATTATAAATGCTCTTTATTCTGTCATGCCACATATTCTTCCTGATGAATGACTATAAAGTCCTCTATTCTTCCACAGGCCTGACTCACCAAAATAATTCCAGCAATTACCTCCTCCATAATCTCATACCTTATGTGTTCTGGATGTTAATTTGTATCCTTCTGGAACTTTGTTAAACTAACCTAAAATATATATTTTATAACAGTCTCAGGTAGAGAGAGAAAAGAATTAAGAGTGTCCAGGAAAAAACCCCAGCCAGTCTAGAAAAACAGTAACAGGGTGTTTAACAGTATCACTAATGCAAACAAAAACCAGTGCTGGGTTGTCACAGGCCCTGGCCTCACATGTGGACAGATCAAGACTCCACAGCTGACTACTGCTGTAGAAATATAAGTGGTCTCAGTAACTACTGGACAAATGTATCTATTTTGAGAATATTAAAGTTGGAAAAGATCTTTAAGATCGTGAGGTCCAACTGTAAACCCTGCACCACCAGCATGTTCACCATGAAACCATATCCTCAAAAGCCCTATCCATACATTTTTTGAATACTTCCAGGGATGGTGACTCCACCACTTACCTGGGCAATCTGGTCCAATGTTTTACAACCCCTTTTGTGGAAAAAAAAAAAAAAAAAATTCCTAATATCTAATCTAAACCTTTCCGGGTGCAACTTAGGCCATTTCCTCTTGTCAAGTTTCATATCACAGAATCTGCTTACTTTGTATATAAATGAGGATGTTCTTGCAGTGCTGTTAACATTATCACTAGCAAAAAGATGTCAAACCCCTTAAAAGCCTAAAAAAAAACTTCAAAAAGGTCCAGGAAATGATGTTTTTCTAAGGAACACCATGAACTTGATTATTAATTTGTCCCTATCACATACATAAATCACTGATTATAGTCAGTTTAAACAACTAACTATATTAAACATGTATCATTTATTCTCTGTCATTTTATACAATTCCCTTTGGAAAACTAGTCATTCTCATCAGTTTCATTACATTCACTACTTGCAAATAAAGGTAGCTAATGCTGAGGTACCATGCACAGGCTGGTCCACTGCATCCAAGAGAAAGCTCAATGTATGCACCTTCTCTCACAGCATTCTGAGATCACCTAGGTATCCCATCCTCAATCTGGGATTAACAAATTCATATTACTGTATTTTAGGTCATGTCTGAGGCAAAAAGGCTAGAATTCTTATCTGTATATGTATATATTCACAGAACATGTAGCAAGAGCACAGGGACTATCCTGTCCCATCCAATTTGAGCTCCTGAAATGTCTCTAATTCAGTGCAGGCTCTTTCTCTCGGCAGTGAAACAACACAAGACCCTAGCTGCCCTCTAGTGTGCTTAAGAGCCTATTTCTCTCCACTGACCACTGACATAGTGTAGGGCAGCAACATCTGTAACCCAGGCATCTAAAATATGGAGGGATAAGCTCAAGACACAATCACACATCAATACTGTGATAGAAAAGGACACCAAAATGTTTTAAACGGATTATCTAAGTTGTAGTCCACAATGATCTCCTCAAATAGTTTCTACAAAAAATGTAGATGGAGTTTAATTAAGGGAAAAAAACCAACTAAACCAACCCAAAGCCCTAAAGTCAAAAACCTCTAGTTACCTACCTTATATTTTTGTGATTTCCCCAGTACATTAGCCAAGGAAAACATAAGGGAATGATCATTAGGTATTAATTCCAGGGCTTCTCTTCCAACTGCTTCTGCTTGAGCTAGATTGCCTAGGAGCCCAGGTAGCGGAAAAAGAGAAGGCATATTTTAACACAGCCTTATTAGTTACTTTTCATGCTGCAAGCACACGTATTTTACAAATAGCTGAATGCATAATTTTTTAGAGAAAACCAGGTATCGCACACACACACAAATGTAAAATTCCGCAGACTAAGGCAACAGATAATCTTCGTTTTCAACAGATAACACGTTCAGAAAAACAAAAAAGCAGAGATCAAAAAGTTCTGGAATTCAATCTATACTACAAACATGCTTGCACAATGATGGCATTTCAAGTAAGTATCAGAAATTCAATTTATGGGCTGGATTTCAAATGAAGTTTTAAAATCACTGAGTCAGAAGGCATTCTTATATTATTAAAGAGTGTCTGGGTAGCCAAAGAAGAGGTACAGATACTTTTAGATAAAGGCAGATAAAGGTTTAAGTTTTTCTAGACACTGAATTATTCATTAAAACATCCAAATAGACCTTTACCTGTGTTATCAAGCAATATTATCATATTGTTCCAAGCCAAACTGTGCTCTGGTTTCAGGACTGTAGCATTCCTCCATGCATTCAATGCATCTATATGGCGGTTCAAATCTGCATACTAAAACAAAAAAAAAATCCAGTAATTTTGCTATTACTTGCTTTACTTTCCTATCATTCACTAAAGACACTAAAGAGTTGCTAATGTCTCGCTCCTTTCTAGTAGGATTTCTTTTTATAGGCAAAAATGAATTTAAAAGGAATACTCTTGTAGTATGGAACATAAGAACTCATATACTAATTTTCCTTTTCTCTGGAAGTGAGGCTTTCTTCAAATAGGCATGTACCAATAGAATCAGGAGAACTTTCTTCAAATAGGCATGTACCAATAGAATCAGGAGAACAGCATACAATTTAGAAATCTACACAAGAGAATGGGTAAATATTTAGTATTTACTAACAATAAATTACTAATTTAATATTAATATTTAGTAAATATTTTATGTACATATTTCTAAATATGATTTGAATTTTCCAGCATTCTACTAGCTAACAATATACATGTTGTATATTCCAGGAAAGCTATAGGAAAAGCTACCAAAAGTACAAAATCACCCTAAAATACCATATAAGCAAACTGGGATAACTATCAGCTTCTAACAGTACAGGAGAATTCTATAAATCTATCTATATATATACACACAGAAAGACACACAGATTCCAGTCATAGCTATCATTTATTCAAAAGCACTTACCAACCGCCCTAAATTGTAGTAACAATCTGGATATTTTTTTCTGTGTTTAATTGCTGTCCAGTAGCTTTGCTCTGCCTCTTCAAACCTTCTTAAACTGTTCTGCACTATTCCTAGATTCATCCATGCAGCAGCAAAATCAGGTCTGGGCAAATTGGGAAAAAAACACCAAGGGAGAGGACAATTAAGCATTTGAAACACAAGATCCTATTGTATCATTTTGGCTCAGCTGGTGCAAAACACTGCTTTAGCATTGGTCTAAACATACTGTATTTGTACAGCTAAGGACAGCAACTCCTCTGCTTCATGGAGCTCATTTCTTTCTTTCAGAATATTTCCAAGGTTGTTCATGGCATGCACATATTTTGGATTCAACCTAAAATTTAAAATTTAAGAGATTATTATTATGTATGGACATGTATTAATATATGCAGGTTGCTAGCTCTGCAATGCTGCAGAACATGAAAATGAATACCTAAGCATTTTCTTCACGTTAAACATGAAAGCAATTTCAGGACAGATCATTAAAGCAGTAAAATTTCTAATACCTTACAGCTTCTCTGTAGTATTTGATTGCAGCACTTTGATTTCCTTTGTCAGCCAGGTTTTTGCCAACATTGTAGTGCACCTGAAAACACAGATGGATAATCCACCAGATGCCACACAGTCAGATATTTTGTGGAACCTAGTAGCTAAAAATTCTTACTCAAAAAAGAAACAGTCAGCACTTGTGTCATTCACTGCTGGCTTTTGGTGTAGGTTGATACTTAAGATTGGATAATTCATACAATGAAGACAGTAAGACAAAATCTGAGGTATAGATTAGCTAACCTATTCCAGCTATTTAAAAGACATTAATCACTTCCTAGTTTTATAAATAAGGTCACCAAACCTTTCACAAGGCACTTTGTATGGAGACTTCCTGCCTTAATTTCGTTTATTTGCTAGGTAAGAGAAAGTTTGACTCAAATCAAATGTATTATAGCAAAAGAAACACTACAGCAATGTGTGAAACTGTTTTCATTATACCATAAACTAGAAGAGACTCAAAAATTCACAAAAAAACCCAAACAAAAGGTAACAGACAGGCACAATTATTGTCTAATGATAAAAATGCATCAAAGAGCATCTCTGAAATAATATGTATAGCAACATGTTGAAGTTAAAAACTGAAGAATGAAGGAAAGATCTAGAGCTTTTAGTCTACAGGGAGAAGATGTATCATCCTAATTTATGGCAAGAGTAAATAGGAATAAATATATTTCAGGAAAAATCTGAGTTGGAAGACATCTCAAATCCCACTTTAAGATAAATCCCAGAAGACTATGTTACCTGGTTGAAAAGTACTGTGAGTACTGACTCTTGAAAAGAGATTTCTCAGCACCCAGATCAGGACTCATTATTTAGATTACTTTAGTATTTGAAATCAAATTGTATACAATTCATCTAAAACAAACACATACAGTAATTTCCCCCAAACTTTGAAAATCTAATTTCAAAACACTATACAGGAAAAACAACAGACTGAAGTCAAAAAAGATAGGTTTGTAATGCACTTATATAAGCCTAATTCACCTTCTACATTAAAAAAAGGATTTTATGTGATGTGTCCATTAACTGAAAAATCCTAATTGCAGTTGGCACAGAATCTGGGACCTATTGATCCAGCACACATGATTGCTGGAGCCTAGTTGTTATGGTATTTAATTGTTGAACTTCATCTCTATTTGATTATAACTATGCAGTTACATACCATCAACAAATGAAGTTAAGGACATTTTCCATGCTTTCTCAAAAGGGAGAAAAAGTATTTCCACTGGCTTTAAGGAGAGCAAAGATGCTATAAAGCTTACTAAGCATGCACAGAAGCAGCTCCTCATACTGTATGATATAATTTAGCACACAAATTCAGCATCCCATAAAAGCAGTTCTAGCACAGATTCCACAAAGAAAAAAATCCTGGCCCTTTCCTGTACATTCATAAAAATGTGACAAGGCCCATGGCAAAGGAGCAACAGAATGGTACACTTACATCAGGAAATAACCAAACAAAGATCTATTGACAGTGTCAAAAAATACAAAAAGATAGAGCAGCATTTTCCCAGGAGTCATTAAAGTAAAATGAAGTACCCTGAAAGATGTTTCTTAGGACTGAATTCTATTTATGTATCTCTTCCAGAAATTTTTCAGAACACTAACATTCTTACCAAATTGGATTGCTCTGATTATATATGTTGAAGTTCACACATTCAAAATTTACCCAGATAAAAGATAAATTGTGGCAACACAGAAGAAATATTTAAAGATTTCACTGAATACTGGATGTTAGCCCTTGAAGTACATAACTTTACACTTCAGTATCAGCAAACAAAATTATATTTAACTTGATTCAATTTCATTCTTTATGAAGCTTTACAAAATGGAATTTGACTAAAGACCAGGACAGAACAGATGAGAAAAATCTTGGTGTACACACTCAGCCTTTCACATGTCAGCTATCTTGTGTTAGGAAACAGCACTTCACTTTCTATTTTTCACAGTTTTTTAAAAACATGTAGTATCTTCACATCCATTTTTTTCCCCAGAAGTACCAGCAGCAAGAATATTTTTCTTATGTAAACAGAATTGTACAGTATGAAGAAAACTGAGAGATATAAATTCTTTCAAGTCAAAACATCAAATGAAGTATTAAGTGCACACATACATTTTGTGAACTGAACTAAAAAGATGTAGTATATTAAAACTGATAGCACAACTATTTAAATAAAATATTAGCATTTTCAATGGTACATTTCTTCTGTCCTCAGCTATAGCTCCTGTGTGAAAGGAAATTATGTTTCTATACAATACCCCCCAAAAATTACCTTGCTGTGGGTAAGTTTGCTAATTTCCCTTCAAGTGAAATTGTAGGTTTAGTTCCTCTCAATATGGCAGTGACAAGGAAGGGAAAAGGAAAAAAACCAGAAACATACCAGAAGAAGTGCCCAGCCTCCAAGAAATAAATAAATATCCAATGACAAATCACCAGCTCTGCAATGGGTTATAAGATGCAGTAACATCCTACTCTTAAGAACAGGACCAGCAAAGGGTTTCCAGGCACATAGAGTCATCTGAGAGGTGCAGGTTACTTCTGCCATCCAGCTGTGTCTCTCACTTCAGTGGCCACGACAGAGAGATGCCAAGGTCAGCCTTGAGCTCACTCAAAGCAGGCCTGCAGTAGCCACCTGCAGGCTGCTGAGCATCAGGCTGGGACTTTCCTGCACAACACCGGGACACAAGTGATGCTTTCTATGCACCAGTGTGGGAAGAATATCTTCTTTAACAATGAGGGGCCAGTGAGTTGTTTAAAATTTCATCTCTAGAGGTGTGGTTCTTCTGTTTTTGACAGATATTGTGCATGCCAGCCTGGGAGGGAAGATTATCCTTTCCTGGTTAAACATTTAAGAGTCCTTCATTATTAAATGATTAAATATTAACTGCAAATGACGTATTACATTATACTCAGATGATCCTTTATCAATCTTAAACAGGCAATTACTTTACAGTAATAGCTCTAAAAGGAGCATTTCTCAGGGATGCATAACAACACAGTATTCTCTAAAATCTAAGAGATCAGGTAAAAATACCCTAGGGTAGAGCCTACCCTCTCTCAACAGGCATGTTGAGTTAACATTAAGTTAACACAGCCATGGCACCAGAGCCTAGCCAAGGAATAGGCTCTATATATTTGTCTGTCCAATACCTCAATCAGCCTAAGAAACCAGGATAAAAAAGAAAAAGCACTGTATATTATTCTGTGCCAGATATACTTTATACTTGAACTCTTATTTAAATGTTAAGTTTAAACAAGAAGAAAAAAAACCATTTTCCTCTACAAAAATGAAACTATTGCCAGACTCATTTTTTTGCCTTTGTTTTCCCTCAGAGCAGAACAGGAAGAAATTGAAATGTAATATCTTCTAGGAGGTACATCCCCCTCAGTTGGAGCATTACTGTTATCACCAATTTTACTCTCTCTTCCTAGCTGCTTATAATCTCTTTCTCAGTGAATATGAACATTTGCTGAAAAGGATGAAAGCAAAGCACAGATGTCAAAATTTCTCCAGGAACATGCAGATGCCTCCGTTCAATGCCAGCTCTTGTCATCAGTCTTCTCTTTCTTCTACTACTAAAATTCTGTTTTCTAAATAATAATAAAACAAAGCTTTTTTGATATTCACGTCTTGTTTGTGTATCTAATGTTGTCTAAAGCTTCTTCGGCATGAATGTACACACAAAAAATTGACATCTAAAATGGTGGCAAAGCACTGCAAACAGCCCATATAAACAGAGCCCACATCACTTAAGTTAGATTCATTAGAAAATAATCCCCTTTTAATATATAGTGTAAAGAAAAAAATCTCAATATCTAAAGGAAATGCCCTCTAGATCAGCTTCCTTAAGGATCAAAGATCATATCCTCAGGCAGCTTTAAATGTTCTGTAACAAAGAAGTTTTACAGGACCTTTTAAGAAAGTGTAGAAACCAATCTCACAGCCTTATTGTACCTTTTCAGTGCTAGCATTGCTCATCTCTGACAAATTTTTATCTATAATGACTGCAGTTTGCATAAAGCATAAATTTTCAAGTTACTTACTCTGGTATGTCAAGGCAGACAGAAACATTATGTTGGGAGTGTTTTAACTTCCTTGCTTATTATTGCAGAAAAGTTGCTACCGAAATGGCTTTTCAAAAATTATGTCTAATAATTTTGACCCTTTAAAAAAACCAGTAGCAAGGAGAATGTAGAGATTACATACAAAATAACAACAATTTACAATCATTTAGATTCAGTTATTTCAAATCTAGGAAAAGAAAAATGCTGGCTATTTCCCACATAGGTAACGATGTAACTGCAATTATTTATTCAGATAATCAATGAGAGGAAGTCATCCAGGAATAAATACCATCTCTGAATTCTTAACTGCTATGGCTTTTCTAAAAGCTGAGAAAAAATAACTCTGTTCTTCCAACAGTACAAACATTTCCAACAGCAAAAAAAAAGGCAGCAAGATGAGCATTTTTGGGAATAATCTTTAAAATTAAAAGAAAGAATGTATAGTGACTTCAAAAGGTGAGGAGCAATCCAGCAATGTCTAGAAATAGTGAACAGCAGTAGGACAGGGCCAAAATTCTAATCTTATGTATTCACATCTACTCAGGTTGTCAGGACTTCTGTTATCATCAGTGGAGAGAAAGACAGAAATCTAGGATACAGTCCTTCTGACTTATGTCCCTCATTTAGTCCAAGGTGAGGAACCACATGCTAAAAGAAACAGCTCCTTCTCACTAGGAGAAGAATCCAATCCATACAGTATGAAAAAATGTGGTAGGAAAAATGGAATCAATACACAGGCACCTCCTGTTCAGCTAAGGAAAATACTGCCAAATGTATTAAAAATGTGTACTGTTTCAGTCTAATGACCTTTAAAACCAACCTGAGTGCAGGGCCACACAAGTTCAGATGTGTGACATGCTCCTGGACATGTTTAACCAAGATCTGTAACATACTTGTTTCTCCCTCTTAAAAAACCCTACCCACCCAACCAATATGTATAATTTATATAAATGTATATATATATATACACACACACATACATGCATACATATATACACATACATTTTAAAAATATTTTAAATAAATTTAAAAATATTCAAAAAATTTTAAAATCTGTATTTGGAACATTTTCAGAGGTCAAAATATTTGTAGCTTCATTATGATACCTGATTATTTCCAATAAATTTTAAAGTCACCGGGTAACATTTATTAAAGTTGATCTTAAATGTCATCCTCTTGAACCAGATGTGTCACCACTCAAGACACCAGATTCACTACTGTGCCAATCTCATTTAATGCAGTTTCCCCATTTTTATATAAAGATATGTTTAAAGAAATGAGTCTTGAAATTATACAAGGAAGTGCAGTTAGTTCTTGTTATTTAGAATTAGGGTAAGTTTACTCTGTACTTCCCACACAGACAATTTGAAATTGAAAAGAGCTGTATGACAAAACATGAACAGCTTTTTCTGCTACTGAGGATTTGAGATCCTGCTACATAATGGAAGTAAAGCATGACCACATTACACATATTTAATATGTTCCAAGAACAACAAGAAAAAGCTATTATCTATGTACCATTCTTTGGTCTCCATCAGCCTCCCACTGAAATAAACGGGTCACTGAAAGGAAGTCCTGTGGAGTCATTTTTAAAGGAAGCCTGCAATTTCAGGACAACTGAAGATCAGAACAAAACCTGGTTCAAATTTTTACATTTACCTTTGTCAAAATTAAATAAATATAGATGTGTTAATAAAGAAAACAAGAGATAGGCTCTCATACATGGACTCCCTAACGTTCCTACTTAGAAAAGTTCCCTACTAATGTGATTTCAAAGTTACATCCCAAAGCAAAATTGGAATGTGAGCCTACAATCCTTTCCCTGTTCACATCTCCATGCTTTCCACTTGCACAAGCTGTCACCAGCAGAAATACAGCTCAGGCATATCTACAGTGCCCAGTGTTGACAAACACAAGCTCATTTTGCCTGTACATTCACTGGCTTTAAAGCAGCTGCATTAGTTCAGTAGCTTGTGCACAGCTTATCGGCTCAAGCGCAGTACTGTGGGAGCACAGCTACACAGCTTCCCAGCCAGCCATGGCTGGAGTCCAAGGAGCTCGGAGCACAGGCAAAGAGTGTGGATCTGTCTGAAGCACTCTTACCATGGCAGATGGATGGAGTTACACACAAAGAAAACAGATTGCATTTGCTCCATTTATAGTAGCTGCTTGTCATCCAGAAGACAAGATACACTGAGGTCATCATTAAGAAGAAGATGGTCGCCTACCACTGCCACACAACAAAATGCAGCAGCTCTTTCCTATGTATTAAAATCTCAGACTACTGAAAGACGCCACCATGTTGTAAATATTTGCCATAAATGTTTTTTACAGCTCACTGTTGCATATTTGTATTCCAGTAAATGCTAAGTTTATCATTCTCTTTGTCAAGTTGAGCATTCAAAAGTTGATTTTTAAACCCTGTGTCTTGATTGGTATTTTCTACATACCACTCTAGATTGCAGGAATCTAATCTTTTAAAACATCAATGTATTTTTATTGACAAGCTGCACATTCCCACTCCCAGTCTTTTCAAAGAGTCTCCTTACTAAAATTCAGACAACATCAGTGGTATGCTCCAACAGGTCACACTCTTGGCTGGCAAAGGACTGCTGTCACTGTTACAGCAGGTAACCTCTGCTGGAGGCTGGCGTCAGTTTCCAGTGCTGAACACTGCTGCTCGGCTCAGTGAAACATCCTATCCAGTCCCACCATCTTACTTGTTCCCTCACTAAGCCTGCAGGGAAAATTGCAGCTTTCCTCAGTGCCCATGGCTGAAGAGTCTAGCCCGCTCAGCTGCTGTAAAAAAGCAGAAGTGGGAGCAAAATTTTACTCCCACATCCCACAATTGCACTGATGATATGCTGCTTTGTCCCTCAGCTGTGCTGGCTTTATATACCACTGGAAGGTACACAGAAAGGATTCTAAAAACAGCACAGACATTTTTCAGTTGAATACATTGCTACAGCTTACTAACCTTGTTTTGATATTTTTGTTGCAATAACTTGCAATTATATACACAATTCTTCTAGATTTTATTAGCAGTACATCCAATTTGACTTGATGCCTTTCTTGAAGTGCATTCTCCCCTCTCCCTCACCTCCCCACTCCCAAGTTCTGAATTACAATATTGTAATTTGCACTTTCTGGTATTTTGACTATGCTACCACTGTAATTTAGATGTCTGACATGTCAATGTCATCTCTGAACCGAGCAAGACTGTGAATAACACTGTAGCACAATATATTAACTATGCATAACACCTCCTTGACCCCAAATTTCAAAACACTTACAGAAAAAAAGAGGAAAGATTAGAAGTCCATGAGTGACTTACTTTTGCATTCAGAGGGCACACAGACAATGCACTCCTAAAAAGCTGTTCTTCTGACCTCCACTGGCTGCTGCGGAGCGCACAGCGCGTAACGTTTATCAACAAGATTCCAAGTACTGCCACTGCAAGAATTTTCTTAAGGAAAGAGAGCCAGATTAAGAAACAAATCATGCAATTGAACAGCTTCATCATGAACAAGTTTACTGATTATTTTGATGGTACCTTTTTCTTGGCTTGCTTACTCAAGAGGCTAAACCCATATGTAAAGAGAATACAATATCCAATACTGGGGAGGTAGATGACTCTCTCTGCAACAACAAATCCTACTCGGAAGAAGAGATTACTTGCAGGAAGAAAAGGGATAATAAGAAATCCAAGTCCCAGTGTAAGGATTCTGCAAACAAGAAACAGATTCTTAGATTAACTAAAAATTTTAACAAAAATATCTTTTCCAGTTAACATATAAACTTTATTTAAACATTGTAGAAGGATGTGCATATAGAACAGGGCATTTAAACACAGCCTTTGAGAGCCAATAAGATCAAATTTTCGTGAGGCATTTTAAAAATCATTGCTATAATTTCCACAAAAACAATATTCATGCTTCCAGGCCAGAAAATAGCCCCATTACATAATAATAACATAACTCCTATTTAAAATACACAGGCAGGAAAAGTAATAGTAAAAGCTACATGTCTATTTTTGGACCTAGTAAGACAGCAATGGGGGAAAAACATAAGTCACTGTTAAAGAAGAAACTTAGGTGCACATTCAACCGAGAGGGTGGTTTTTCTCCTAACAAACAAATCAATAGTAGAATCCATTGTGGTTAACCACTTGGAAGTTAGTAATCTACTCTCTTTCTACAGACAGACACACACTTTTTGAGTGCAGTATGCCTTCCTTTTCTTAGGCACCAATGCTAGCATCCTCAGCAGGTAGCTGTTTATGGACTATACAGACCTCAGACAAAAAAGTCTAGGTACATCACTTTTATAGAGCTGACCTAAGGGAAAAAGAACCTCAGGTCCATGTCAGGTATTTCTTACAAAGGCCATGGGCATGGTAATTTTCTATTGTAATTTATTACAAATTAACCTCTATGCTGTAAGGTAGATGCATCCTCCTGGTCTTTTCTCATCCCCATAAAGTTCTAGGCCTTCATTATACTTTTTGTCTTCACTTTTTACTAAAAAACTGTTTAGCAATAAAGGCTTAGCGAGTGAATTTTTACTAGAAAGTAAATGACATGACTTGCAGCAAGAGTTCCGCCCCCTCCCCGGAATTATTTATCTGTACAAATAAGTATGGGAACAGCAGAAAGGCAGGTGGGTGCACTGCTGATATTTGAAGGGATGAGAAGAGAAGAATTAGAAAAGATTTTGCACTCTGAACAATAGAATTACCTGTGCTGGTGATAACAGGAAGACTGCAGAAAATGTGGGCCCTCTCTGGAAGCAAATGGGAAGCCTGGCTACCCAGGACATGGAGAATGCTGAGATATTCAATAACTGCCTTGTCTCAGACTTCACCAGCAAGTGCTCCAACCACACTGCTCAAGTCACATAAGGCAGAGACTGGGAGAATGAAGAACTGCCTGCTGTAGGAAAAGGTCAGGTTCAAGAACATCTAAGGCACACAGCTCCCTGGGATCTGGTAAGGTGCACTTGCAGATCCCAAGGGAACTGATGGATGAAGTAGCTAAGATAGTGCTGAACTCCTACCCATCATACTTAAGAAGTCATGACAGTCTGCTGAAATTCACATGGACTAGAAAAGGGGAGACATAACCTTCATGTTCTGAATAGGGAAAAAGGCAGACTCAGGAAACTAGATCAGTAGGTCACCTCTGTGCCTGGCAAGATCATGGAGCAGATTCTTCTGGAAAATATGCTAAGGCATCTGGAAAATAAGGAGATGACTGGTGAAAGCCAATCTGGCTTCACTAAGGCAAAAATGTGCCTGACAAATTTTATAGCCCTCTACAACAGCATTGATGGATAAAGGAAGAGCAAGTGATACCATCTACCCAGACCCGTGCAAAGCATTTAACACTGTCCAGCATGACAACATCTCCAAACTGGAGACGTGGATGTGACAGCTGGACCTCTTGGTGCTAAGGAAGTGGCTGGATGGTTGCACACAGAGTTGCAGTCAATGGCTCAGTGTCCAGAGTCCAGTGACAGGTGGTGTTCCCCAAGGGCTGGTGTTGGGTCTGGCACTGTTTAACATCTTTGTCGGTGACATGGACGGTGGGACTGAGCATGCCCTCAGCAGGTTTGTCCACAACACCCAGCTGTGCACTGCAGTCAACACAGGAGGGAAGGGATGCCATACAGGGGCTCCTGGATAGGATAGGTGGGCTGATGCAAACCTCATGAAATCCAAGTGCAAGGTCTGGTACTTGGGTCAGGGCAATCCCAAGAACAAAAATAGGCTAGACAGAAATGGCATGAGAGCAGTTCTGTGAAGAAGGACTAGGGGGTGTTCAGTGATGAGAAGCTGAACATGACCCAGCAATGTGCACCTGCAGTGCAGAAAGCCAACCATATCCTGGCCTGCATTACAATAGCATGGCCAGCAGGGCGAGGGAGGTGATCCTGCCCCTCTACTCTGCTCTGGTGAGATCCCAGCTGGAGTGCTGCATCCAGCTCTGGGGCCCCCAAGATAGAGTGGACATGGACCTGTTGCAGTGAGCCCAGAGGTGTACCACAAAGATGAGGAGAGGTCTGGAGCACATCTCCTGTGAGAGGGATGAGAGAGTTGGAGTTGTGTATCCTGGAGAAGAGAAGGCTCCAGGGAGACCTTCTAGCAATCTTCCAGTACCTAAAGGGGGCGACAAGAGAGCTGGAGATGGGCTTCTCAAAAGGACACATAGTGATAGTGTCCCATTCCTGGAAATGTTCAAGGCCAGGATAAACAGAGCTCTGAGAAACCTGGTCTCATGAAAGGTGTCCCTGCCTGTGGCATGGGGACTGGAACCACCTGACCTTTAAGGTCTCTTCCAACTCAAACCACTCTGTGATTGAGCAGTTGAAAAATTTTAAGGAACTGAGAAATTAAATCTACATAAAATCCATGGGAACAGAACCTGGAAAGTTAAACAGAAGCCCTTATTGGGAAAGAACAGTTTACAATAAATTTTTTAGTGCTTTTTCTTAAAGCACAAACTGTTTTCTGAATACATACTAGGGACCAAGCATATTACTTTTTAACTTTATGACCATGGGCAGTATTCCTACCTGCTTTCAAAGCACATCTCCCATCTTTCATTATTAGGAGAAAATTAAAGGAAATGATGACTTGTAAGAAGTAAGGGCAACAACAAATATAATTTCCTACTGTGTTCTGAGCACATATTACTTTTTACCACCTACAGTGTTAAGGACCTCAGAATACCATTTAAGAAGAAAAAATAAAGCAGCCATCCATGCCTCCTCCTCCAACTCTGTTTCCTACTAGATGGTATACAGTGATGGACCCAAATTGGGATAAAACTGTAATGACAGCTATAAATATTTATTTGAACTGCATTTGCTAGACACTGGTTCCACTGAATTGTTAAAATTATCAGTAGTGGATTTAACAAAATAACACTGTACTCAAGTTGGCCAGGCATTTAAAATTCATCACTGTCTCTTACCTTCTCTTATGGCTGTCTTCTGAGCATAGAGCTTGGCATATCAGACCAATTAGGCAGAACCAAAGTGCTGCTAGTGCAATTATCCTCCAGTCGCTGACGGATTTAATGAGGGGTATGCAGCCCATTGACCAATCAAAACACAGCCACCAGGGACACAACAGCAACCATGCATTCAGTGAATAGTAGTAATTATAGTTTATAGCCTGTCAGTCAAAGAGAAAACAAACATTTATTTGATACTAAACTTGCGGGGGGGGGAGGGAGGCAACTTTAGTCCTTCTCTCCTCCCTCATTTCCCTCATAGCACAATAAAGAGGCCATGAATACTGCTAGACTACAACTATTTACATGTCCATTACTATTACAGCTGTGAAATTAATTTTTAAGTTTCTTTTAAACATAGCTAGGTGGCTCTCTAGTTCAGAGCAGGAAAATGCAATTCTGTGCTGTCCAAGCAATATTCATACATAAAAAGAACAATCTCGTACAACAGGAGAAAACATCAAAAGACCCACTGCCTTCACCTTTCTTTCTCCATCTCCAGAAAGATCCTTAATGACACCAGAGGTATATGGCCAAAACATACTCCAAATACACCAGACTAGAACTTTGTGCTATTTTCTTTAGTTGTGAAAGAAGATGAAAAGTCAAGCACAGTATGTGGAAAAAGAATGAAAATCAGAAAAAGCTAATTTCTTGCATGCATGGGAAAAATACTGAGTAAATGGAAAAGTACTTCAATATGTACAGTGCATGCTAAATTGAATGCAAGGAATATACACTGTATACTGTTTAAAAAAAATAAAATTGCAGAGAGTCATCACAGCAGCACAAGTGAAGGCAACTCATCAAACATATCTATAAACTTAAAAACTGCCCACTTTATTGTTTCCTAGAAACACAGGAAACTCAATTTCATGACAAAGACAAATGTTCTGAGCTGGCCAGAAAAAAGCAACTTCATTACTTACTCTTACAAACAGACTGTCAGCAAATGAAGCTGGGTTGTCTACTTCGGTGAAAGCTGGTGGCCCTGTGCCCATAATCCTCCAGCGGATATAAAGTATAGCGGCCCCTCCACACATCAAAAGAGTTATCCTGAAAAGCAGCCCCTTCCTCAACAGTCCAGCATTCTACAGGAAAGAAAGAAAGAAAGAAAAAAACCCACCTCATATAGAAACAGTATTTGTTCTCTTACCCAACACATTCACATCCTTCTCAGACCTCTGTCTCAGAAAGAAAAAGCTATTCCCATGCATTTTTGCTATTAGAGTTGACATTTTAATTGGAAAGTATTTTTTGAAACATTTTAATTTCCTTCTCAATCAGTAAACAAAACTTGTTAGTTCAAGGAGACTCTCTTCTACAAATCCTCTGTAATTCTATAGCTGATGCAGTTTTACATGGCAATCAATTTCTGACAGGGAATTTGAGCAGAACACAGCCTTTAGTATACAGCCTATAAAAATAATTTATCTTTTCTTTTGAAAATGGAAGATGATTACTTTGGGGACTTTGTTTTAAATAGCAATTTCCAGCTGTCTGCTTGTCATGGAAAATTTTTGTCCACTTTAGAGGTAAATTGCAGGTATATAGCAAGAAAATGGCACAGTTAGGAAGTGGGAGGAATTAGAAACCAAATTAAAATTTTCACACCCAAAAACATGATTAAAAAGCTCATGACAGGCAGGCACCCAAATCACTTACTTCAGGGTAAATTACTCAAGATCAGAAAAAGTATCAAATTGTGTTTGGTATACATTAACTCAGTTGGTTTACATCATGAATTTTATAATATACATTTCTGGGTGCAAAGAAGCAAACTCATAAAACATAAAGAAGTGATGGTGTAGACACTAAGTCTGACAGATTTTTGTATCTTTTTCTCCATAATGTACAGCACTTTCTGCACACATCATTTTCATAAATTAAAAAATAAAAACCAAACCCAAATAAAAAAACAAACCAGTGTACCAAACCTGTAGAGATTCTTCAAGCTTCACCAGTGGAGACTGGAAACAGAATCATCAGTAAGTATAACAATACACCAGTCAAAGCTTTACTATGGCACAATAATTATTGTTACCTCTTAGTAGAATATGCTCTTAGCAAGGACTAGCATAGTTGCTTAGGGTATCAATATCAGCTATGTCTGAAGTTTTTAAAAAAAAAGTAAGCTTTCTGAACAAAGACAGACATCAGTGCACTGGCTGAAGATACTTTTTTTCTAAAAGGATCTAAAACTTAAATTAAAAAAGAATTTTCAGATAGTTTTTTAGTATTTGTAATTGACAACGGAGTCATGATATAATATTTAGTTGAATACCTAAGGGTAAAGCAATCTGTAATTTTGATTTTACATAAGCTAGCCTTTGTGCTCAACTGCTTCAAACCTGGACATCTCAGTAAGCAAAGTTACTACAAGGCGGATTTAGGAATGGTTTTCCTACAAAATAGATTTTGGAGAAAACTGTCCTATGAAAAAGCCACATATAGTGAAAACTTACAACTGCTTTATGAAACATTAATAACAAAATCTCTTATCCCAGGGCTTCATTTCATTTAATGAAGTACATGCAGTTTCTTAAAGGCCAGATTTCACAATTGCCACAAAATCTCTCAGTAGGCAGAATGTGAAAGTGGACAAGTGTTATTGTATCCTCTCTGATTTAGAACTAACTGAAAGGAGCTAAAATTAATTACTTCTACCAAAAGAATAAAAGGGAAAAGGCACATCTGATGTTTTCTGCACTGAGACAGAACCATTTAAAAGTTCTTCTTCTAAACAGAAGCATCACACTCTGAGCTCTTCATGCTTAAAGAATAATCCTCCAAAAAGGTTTGACTCTGACATTTCCTGGAATCATAGAATCGTTTGAGCTGGGAGGGATGCCAAAGGGGTATCTTTTGCTAGATCAGTTTGCTCAAAGCCCTGTCAAGTCTGGCCCAGAACTCTTCCAGGGGTGGGGTATCCACAACTTGTCTGGGTAACCTGTTCCAGTGCCTCACCACACCCTCATTGTAAAGAATTTATTACTGGTCAAACACTGGAACAGGCTTCCTAGAGAGGTGGTCTCCCTGGAGCCTTCTCTTCTTCCCTCCAGAAGGCATTAGACTAGTCAGGCACAATCTGCCCTTGGTGAAGCTGTGTTGGCTGTCTCCAGTCACCTCCCTGTCATTCATATGTTTTGACACAACTTCCAGGAGGATCTGTTCCATGATCTTACCAGGCACTGACGTGAGGCTGACTGGCCACCTGTTCCTGAGGTTCTACTTATTACCGTTTGTTTCCAGCACTTAATTCGGCACTTAGCTCTGCTTTAGATCCCTACAGCTCTAGATGCTTCCCTTGTCACATTCTAGTTAACATTAGTCTCTTTAGACAGCAAAACTCCCCAGCTGTTTGCTGCCTGAAACACTCCTGTAGTCCTCATTTAGTCCTCCTTGGTCAAATCTATTATTTCAGTTCTAGAGAACCTGCTTCCCCTGATTTCCCCTGCAGCTCCTCATTTCACTCCTTGCAAAGGAATTTAAAAGTCCCACAGGACTTGTGCCACTCAGGAATATTAGTGAGACTCCTCTGCAGTGAAAATACTGACTGAGGCAAAGTACAAGGAATATTCTTTTGCCGTGTTGAATGTTGATGAGAATCTTAGCTGCTCAACAGCAGTGGTGCTCTAGTAGGCTGTAGGTCTGTTTGGCTGTTATCCATCATCGATCTGAGGCCGATTGTTTCTGTTATTTGCTTGCCAGTGCTAATACTAGGTGCCAGACTCCACTTGAGACAATACCAGATAAAGTCACATCAATGAAAGTCAAAAAAATCAATCCTTAGCAACTATCAGTGCTTACATAAATTTTTCTTTTAAACTCCTTTAACATAATACATCCTTTAACATAATATATTTTTAATGTACTTGTCTAACTATGTCACTGAGAATCTGAATAAATCTGTCCCTCACTTTATTCTGACCAAACCAAGTACCAATACATTTCAGGTGTATAGTTACTGACCTTGGAGAACTTGTTGCATCAAGCAGTCAACTGCTCCATACAACATTTTTAACATCCTGTTGAGAAAATTGTGGGAGAGATTTCCCTATCCAATGCAATTCTATAAATACCCCATTACTACTCATGTTGCTGCAGAGCTGTCATAGCACATTGCCTTACTAGACTGACTACCAACACCTTTTTTGAATGGTTGGTTTGGAGTTTTTTTCCCTAATTGTCAACAACAACAAAACTGTCAGAAGCTGAATCTTTGTCTTTTAGGACATAACTGTCTGAATAGCCAGAATGAAGATAATCTGTAAGAATGAACAAAACATCTAGGGACTCACCTCCAATGACTTATCCTTATACAGTAACTTCCGAATGAGCTCCAAAAGATTTATCTTGTTAATCACCAGTGCATCAAACACTGCATTCAAACCCTAAGGAACCAAGAGAAAAATAACAGCATAAGATGAAGGAGCTAACCACAAATACTTGCTTTTAAATGCATCTTGAATTGTACTTCTACAATGACTTACTGTACATCTTAATTCTGATTCCAAACAAGTAGAGAGATACATTGGTAGTAATGATGGCAAAACGGTAAATAGAGCTCAGATGAGTAGAAAACCATTTTACTGTAATGGGAATTCAGCTACATGGAATAACCCTTCAGGGAATACCATGTACCAGCAAGCTAGATAACATATGCATGGTCACAACAGAATTCTGCTCTCCATCCTCTTCCCCAAATGCTCTGCAGTGTAAATGAAGCTGTCAAAAGTCAAGTCTTCTATCAGTAAGGTGGAATTTCTTTAAAACTTCTACTTATTTTTTGTTCTATGGTATCCTTGGACTTCCAGGTTTCAGAAATACTGTTTTTAAAGGGTACAGACAAAGGCTTAGAAAGATTTAACAGAGGTATCAGATTTGCTTTTCTTGCAATTACAGCAATATACACAGTGCAAGTTGCTGGGTGGGGAAAAAAAAAAAAAAAAGGAATTCTATATGACATCAGCCACTACACATAAAACTAGAGCATACTCAGTGCTTTGCAGGACTACACTTACACATAACTACCTCCAAGCAGGCAAAATATATAAATGTGTCCAGGGGTAATTGTATTGAGGTTACCAGCAAAATCAAGCCTTAGTATTTCTACTTCAAAGTTTTAGCATATCACCATGATAATTCTTGAGAATTTATTCTATATTCTAATAATTTCAGAAATTACCTCGCTGTTCTAAAGAATAAATAGAAAAAAAACCAAAACAGTAAAACTAGTTCCAGGTGAAGCAAAGAGCTGGTTTCTCAAGAATTGCATTCAAAAACAAGAGCAACAAAAGTGAAACTAATGCTCATGAAAGTGAAACCTTTAAACTTTGCAAAACTATATGCAACCTGCTTACAAAAGTTCAAGTGAAAAGCTCTAACAGATTGGCAAAGATACAGTTAAGACATGTTATCTACTAGAATACTGCTTTTTGTCAACATTAGCTAGTTTTCTGAACAGAATAAAAAGTTGTGCATGTCATTTGCTGTGGAGAAGATTAATTTCTGTAGACTCTACAACTACGTCTGACAGATGTTGAGGTCAAAATTCACTTAATAAGAAAATTCTTACCAGTATTGTAATTCCTTGTTCTTTGCACAGCATGGCTATTGCACCTAGGACAACACTCACCAGCACCCAGAATACAGAAAACGTATGTCCTTCCTTATCTGTCAAAATAAAGAATGTCATGTCTTTAGGCATTTTATACATTTAAAGGTAAATTAAATTATGAATTTAAAAAATAAAGAGCATTTATTATCACAGTCTTTTCTAACAGTCAAGATCCAGATACAAAGACTTAAAAAGCATAGAGCACCTCCTGCAATATGCTGGCATTTGTCCCTTTATTGAGGTAATTTTCTGGTTTTGGAGACATTAGAAATCTCCCTATTTGCTCAATGTTTTAGCCAGATTAATTAGAATGGCAGAAGCTCCACATAATTTTCACAATTTGTCATCTTCAAAGGTTAATTCCCAATATTTAGAGGCATTTATCATCCTTATCTAGAGCCCTATCATTACTGGCCCCTCTCTTCCAAGCTATCATAAGAACAAGAAATTCTTTATAATAGTTACTCATGAAGTGTCACACACACAAGCTGTTTTAACTGCAGCCTAGTCTACAAAGGCACAATGAACTGCTTCTCCAGGGCTGCTGCATTCAGCAAGTACCTCATGTCATTTTATTATCACTGCAATAGAATGCTATGGAGCTCAAAAATGTCAGCAGCTGAGCAGAAGCAGCTAGTCCTTGCACTCGGGAAGCAGTTTTACAGCAGGGTGAGGAACTCTGGGGTTAAGAGATCAAGAGCAACTACAGCTTCTACTCAAAGAAAAATTCTTTAAAGACTGTACCATGTAGCTGATTTTGGGTACTACAAGCAGGCATATCTGAGATTAATACAACAATAAACCCTACTTCAGCTAAGGTACTATCACACGCAGAATACACGGGTACTTCACATGAAAACATATCTGTCACAACCTCTACTCCATGGGTGCAAGCAACAGAGGGAAGCACTCTGCTCATTCAGAGGCAGTTGCTTGATTCAAGTAACAGGGGCTCTACAGGCATCACAAGAATCAATCTTTGACTTGGCATGTGAAAAAACAAAGTTGAACTCTGCATTCATTGACTGAATCCCTTTCCTACTTCCCTTGATCTCTAGAACAGTTCTCCTCTACTGCTAATGCAGGTTTGACCCTCACTGCTTGAAGAGAACTGCAATAATGGTCTATGGAAAGGGGAAATGGCAAGATTAAGATTAGTTTCATCAGAAATAGGCACCTACACCTAAGCTACTACACTAGGCTTCCTTTATAACTAGCCATGAGAAGAGGACACCTTTAGGGATTAAGTTACCTAATTAAATGCAGCTGAACACCTTTCAGAGAAGCAACTCTGCCCTAATGATACAGGGAAACCAGTACACTACTTGAAAAGTTGTTGGGGTCAGATACAAATCATAACCATACGTGTGAAAAGGATCTGCTGACATTGGCCTCTTCTTTAATTTTGAACCAGGATACTTCTTTTGTAGCAGAGAGCTCCAAACTTTTAATACAAATATGTCAAAGAACAGGTTTTGAGGTTACTTCTATCATTCCTTTCTTACCTAAGACTTCTAAAGCTTCAGCAGAGTGAATACTAAGATGTTTGAGACTCATTCTTGCAATACACACAGAGGACATTTGATCCTTCTCCCTCCACTCCAAATTATGTCTCCAGAGGTGAGGTAAGACTTAGCATTAGAGGTGCAAATGTTATAAAGATAAAAGAAAACCTTCTTTTAGGAAAGAAGTCATACACATCTGAATAATGCCAAAACAAAGCAAAAAAATACAAAATACGTAATGACTGAAGAGATATTGGAAGTAGAAAAATTAAAATGCAAAAGGGAAACTCCAGCCCACATCAATTATACAGAAGAACAGCTGAGGGTTGCAACTCATGGAGGAAAGAACTTCACCATTTGTTCTATGAGTATTGCTAAGACAGAAAGAGTTCTGTCTAAATACATCCCTTCAAGGAGCTCTTCAACTTTTCAGACTTTGCAGTACAACAGACTGTTCAGCTAGTTCTTGAAAACCAGTTTGGTTTTCATTTGTTTGATTTTGTTTTTTATTTTTTTGTTTAACATAGGAATCAACTAGCACAGAGAATCCAAGGGTAGAAGGCAAAGTAATTGACTGTTCTCAAAATGACCGTCAACCATCTTTAGTAAGTGTAAAAAGGAAAATAGTGAAGACAGCCAATGGACTTTACTGTGTTTATGGAAATAGACTTTCTTCCATTGAGAGATTTCTTCTTCTCAGAATCTAATTCTAATGGAAAGGAGCTAGGACAACTAAGCACTTCACAGAGAAGCAGTATTCAGTACACAAATACAAATTATCTTAACACAGAAGATAGTGGGAAGTATATATAGTAAGAGACCAGCTGGCAATTCACAAATGCTTTGATGATTCAAAATATAAGAGTAATAGTAAAAAGGGCACTAGGTGAACTCATCATGTACAAGTGTAATAGCAGCACATTCATACAGAAAAACAAACACAGAAAGGTCACATCACAAAATGAGAAAATGTAAATTTTGTATGTTTGTAAATGTAAAGAACAAAACCCCACAATTCCATAGATATATTAGTAAGAAGAATAGTGAGGAAGGAGTCAATATTCATTGAGAAATAAAATGGACAATGCCAAGAGAACAGAAATGTTCTGTGCCCTTTTCGTTAATTTTTTCCCAAAAAGGTCAGATGCAATCAGATGGCAAGTACAGCATCAGCAGAAAGGGAGGAAGAACAAAAGCAAAAATAATGAACTACAAGACATGGAATTCTTAGAGAAGTTCACGATTGGTTACATTCACCTCAACAAGTCCTGTACAAGCCAAAGTAACCTCAACTGTTACCTCTGAGAAATCATGAAAAATACATGAGAATCCAGGAGTTTGAAATAAAATAAAACAATGCCTACATGTCTACTTTTGAAAAGGAACAAAAATATGAAAGGGTAGACTACAGACACAAACCTAAGCTGACTGGTCAAAAATCACTACACCGACATAAAATATTTTCTAGATGACACTTTAAACATAAAAAAAATATGATCAATTTTTTGTCAAATATTTTAGTCATTTATATAGAACTAAATATATCTTTTGACTTGGACAGAAAAAAAAAAATAAAAAAATCTTCCTGCTAAAAGGGAATCTGTAAACATCCTATACCTTGACTTTGGGAAGGCATAAGATTATCACTGGAAGCAGTGTGAAATATGCCACAAAAAAATACGGGCTGCATGAAGTTGCTATAGAATGGGTACAATGTAGTATTTTACTACAGTAAAATACTAGCTTGCTGTGAAATAAAGATAATATTCTGTACTGGATTCTTCCTTTGTCCTTACACCATTTGGATGATGGAATAAGAAATATGCTCATTAAGACCAGAAGTGCTGCCAGGCTGCAATGGCCTGGAAGCATACAAAGGAGAAGTCAGAATTCCATTGACAAACTGGGAAAAACATGTTATCATATAATAGTTTGGTTTGGAAGGGACCTTATGGGTCATCTGATTCCAAGCACCCTGCCATGGGCAGGGACACCTTCCACTAGACCAGGTTGTTCAGAGCCCCATTCAATCTGGCCTGGAGAATGGTCTAGCCAAATAAAAGAAAACTGAAGCCATTCAACAGGCACATGCTCAAAGTTGTGCATAAACAAGTTTGTCTTCTTGTGAATGTCCCAAGTCTCAGATGCAAGAAATGTCTCAGCTTGCCCAGCAAAGTCAAGCTTAAGCATGGACTTGCAAAGATGATAAAAGCACACAGCAAAAGAGAAATAATGAAGGTCTCAAAAACTGAGCATCAAAGACCTGGACTTCAGTAAGGCCTCATAACAGTCTCCCATCAGAGAAGCTGTTGCTGAACAGGCTGGATGAGGAGACAGTGAGGTGAGGTGGACCGAAAACTATCTGAACGGCTTGTCCAGATAGTGGTGGTCAGTTGCACAAAGTCTAATTGAAGGCCAGTGCACTTAGGGGTCAATACTGGGTCCAGTCCTATTCAACATCTTCATTAATGACTTGAATGATGGGGAAGAGGGCACATTTGTTGAGAGCACCAAGCAGGGAGGAGCGACCAATACACCAGAGGGTTGTGCTGCCACACAGAAGGACCTTGTCAGGCTGGAAAAATGATCTGCCAGGAACCCCACATGATTTAATGAGGGCAGCTGCAAAATCCTGCAGTAAAGCCTCCTGGACAGCTGGCTCTAGGTGACCCTGTGTGGGTAGGTCAGCTCAGGTGACCTCAAGGCCACTCCAACCACTCCACGATTCTGTAAACAAGATCTCCTCCTGAAAAGCACAATTTCTATTCCTTAGTTTTCTTTTGCAAGCTCAAAAACTCAACAGTTATACAAAGAATTGTAATATTATCAAAATTGACCAGTGATTAAACTTCAAGGAGAAAGAATCTGAATTACGAAACATTTTATTTCATGCTTGTTCCTGAGTCAATATGCACAACACCCTTCCATCCCCACCATCCCCTGCCTCAACTGCAGAAATCTCAGTAAACTAGGCTGGCAAAATAGATACAAAAGACCATCATTCAGCAATGCCTTCAATTTTATCTTTTTTTTTTTTTTAACACTGATTTGAAATTGTAAAGCGCTGCACAAGTGCTTATTATGAGATATACATGTGCCAACAGAAGTAATCAGTCTAACAAAGCACATTCCCCTAATATGGCGCTGTTTCCCACCAGAAAAATCCTGTGTCAGAAAACGAAACCGATCTTTCACTGGCACCTGTGCCTGGTTGAAACTGGTACGCCATATTGTGAGTGGGCATTTTGCCACTAACAGATGGACAAAACTGTAAGCATGCCAAAGAAATAGAGTCCTTGCTTATTTTTTTTTAAAGCTGGAAGAATATAGTGTTTCTACACAAACCCAAAAAGCGTTGCTCAGATGGTCCCTCTTTAGGAGTACATGAAGCTTCCTTTCCAAAGTTGAGGGGGTTCAATAAAATACCAAGGTAAACCATAAATAAGCCATGAGAGCTCCTCCATTTAGACTGCTAGACTTGAGTAGAAGCATTTCTAGGGCAAGGATGTATACACAAAGTGTTTTATAGTGCAGAATTGACTGATCCTAAA